TGGCGCCGTACATGTTTTTTTGGCAAGAATACTTCAGATAGGAACATCAACAACTGATAAGACATTATAGTTTGTGGTGAAAAGATGAACAATTATAGCATGCTTCCGGAAATCTTTCAGAAAAATGCAAGCTTTGCGCATCAAACCCCTTTTCTTCTTTATTCATTGACGCTACTCTTATTATCGTTTACGCGGGTGTTTGTCGCTTTGTTCTCACTTCAATGCCGGTGCTTCGCAAAGCAGTTTTGGGAACACGTGGAAATCTCTCTCTCGCTCACTCGCTCGTATGTTCAGAGATCACATTTACCACCTGCAATCGGGCGACGACCAGTAAATTGTAGGGGCATGTCAATGAAATCGAAAACTATGATTCAGCAATAAACAATGCTAACCCTACAATTTCTATGATAATGGGGGAACAAAACACAATCAACAACTGCAATGAAAACAGTGAACGACTTAATCGTCCTCTGGCACTGCAAATATGATCCCTAGAAGACGGAAATCTGCCTACGGCTTTCAAAACATTTATGAAATGTTTTGAAAACCGTAGGTTTTTGTTTCCTCTCATGAAAACCCTAAAGAGCCACTTCAGCCGAAAACTCCTACGCAGTTGGCGGACCATTCAGGACATTCAGGACAACCTGACTTCACAACATCCACAACAACAAAAAGTGAAAATTTAATTAGGCTATGCCTTCACATTGAACAGGGCGAGTTATCTTTCTTACAATAATGAAACTTGTGCACTACTAACCTCAGAATCCCTACGCATTATCGTACGAATATCTTCAGCCTGTGGAACGTGTGCTATATTCACATATGATGTTGGAGATCCAATAAAAGAACCATCAAGATCTCCTGTTTCTTGACATGGAATGTCTATCGCACTCGTACCCCCGCGTACCATCCTGTAAAGAAGAAAGATGGAATTATGTGAGAAGAAAAACTGTAATAATGGATTGACTCTCCCTAATAGCCTTCTATTACCGCTGCTACTACCTATTGTCCCAGATTTCTATCGAATAGGCCATTTTCATTAGGAGAGAGCATAACCGTGCTCCAGAAATATGAAAGTTTGAAGGAATTAATTTGAAAAGAGGGCTCGAACTAATGAACAAAAAAAGCCTAGAACAACTTGATTGATATGACTCACAAGGATGGCGCAACAACAACAGCTAACAAAACATAAGGTAATTGATATGAAAAAAAAAACCGTAAGCACTGAGGGAGGCATCGGCAAAAAATCTCCATTTTAAAAGCTTCCTCACGCAAACCGAGGAGTCCCACGATTTTTGCCTTTTTTGTGCATTCTAGCTGGTGCTGGTCAACAGTTCAGCCACAGCCAAAGGGAAACTCTGTATGAGATAATGCTCATTACTAGGCCCAGATCAAGAGGCAGTGGCATTATACATGGCGTATTCTTCAGCTGCTACACAACACCCATAAAACGCACACTCGTGCCCATAATATGCACGCCGCT